GAATATGATTACCTTTTTATACACTTCAAGAGCACACCCTAACACGTTTTTTGACAAAACCAAGAGGGGTGACCCACATCGTCCAACCAATGTTGGTGATTAGAAGACGTTGGAGTTTTACAATAGGCAGAAATAATAATTTTCTTTCAAAATCTTTTTTTTCATATTATTATAGATTAAACATGCTCGGTCAAAAATATCAGTTGTTTTTTTGTTTTTTTTAATTAATTTTTGTCAGGGTTAACAGAGGTGTTCAGTTTGTTATGTAAACTAGACCACGTTTTTAAGAGAATTTGAAAGGTTGTCATTTTATAATATGAGCTTAACATAAATTTATTCTTTCACTATTCTCCCGAAACTTTAAATCAGTATGCCCACCCTCACATTTGTCAGAAGTTTGGGTAAATATTTACTATTCCACCCTTATTAACCTAATGCGCATGATCAATTCCGCCCTTACTTCACTATCACTGGCCAGTTGACGACTTAAAGCAGTAATTCCCAAACGGTGCAGAGCGCCTGATAGGTGAGGTAGAAGAGAATAGAAGGTGAGGAAGAGTGATTCAAAGACAAAGAATTAGAAACAGTTTTAAAAAATTCATATGCCAAAAATAAATACGATTTCAAAATTTAAAATATTATTATGAATTACTTGTAATTGAATGCATGAGTCCCGTTACAAATAGTTATGCAGTGAGTCCCCCATATTCGCGGGGGTAGGGACCAGAAACGGCCGCGAATAGTTAGAATCCGAGAATACTTATAACCACCCCGCTAAAAGTGCTTATAAGTACCTATAAAATAAAACCCCTATAGACCTTAAACTTTCATCCTAAACACTTTAGAAACATTTCAGGCCCATTTAAAAACATTTTTTGAAAAATAGTATTTGTGACCATACTCTTACCGTAAATTTTCTTTCATACGAACAATAACCATTTTTAATTACGCAAAGATCGATACAACCATTGAAAATACTATATAAAATATGTGTACAGTATTTACATTAGTCGGACTATTGTCCTCATCTTTGTCGCCATATTTGTCATAACGTTTCGGCCGTTGTAAGCTCCGGCCTTCTTCAGGTGGTTGGAATGTCGAACTGAACCCTTTATTTCGCTCACTGGGGTAGACTGTTCTAGTTCACGTGCTATGTTTGATGGACGTCAGTTATCAGTTATCTCCTGCTAATTTTCCCTCTGAAAGTTCTCCACTGCCTTAACCAGGTATTGAACTCACCTTCTTTGGGTCCGTCATTGGATCTAACCAACACCTTTATCCACTGTGACATGTGTCCTTGAGGGTATGAACTTCTGAGTATTATAAACCTAATGTTTTCAGCTCATTTTTTTTTTACCAGTGCTCATATTGAAATATAGACAGACTTCAAAATATGTGTAGTGTAACAAAACATAAAATATAAAGTTTAAAACATTTTCTAAAAACAGCACAAGCCACTTTCAAGTCCCCAGCCACAGTCCCTAACAAAGAACAAAGCCCAGGTACTACGGATGTTTTGCGTTTGTTTTTTACAATGAAGATGTTCAATTCTGCCAATTTTTACCATAAAAATGGACTGTTATATGTTTTAAGTGACTTAAATAACAGGAAAATAATACAAGAATATTTTAAATATGTTCTATCGAAAAAATACGCGAATCGAGGGAGTTCTCAGCGAATAATTTGTACATATGTTCATCTGAAAAACACGCCAATACTCGGGGTTTCCGCAAATAACATGTACATATGTTCTAAAGAAAAATCCGCGGATGTGTGAAACCGCGAATGCTGAAACGCGAATAGGCCGGACGCTCACTGTAAATGATTATTGTTGATGAGGAGATGAGTTTGTTCATCTCAAATTAGGCCTAATATAGAGGAGATTACCTGTCAAAAACAATACTTTTCATTAAATTTGTGTACTTTAATCATATTACAAGTTATTTGTGTTAATATTATATTCAATGCACTATAAGATTTTTTTTCAATGTACTTTTTATCACATAAAATTTGGTGAGGTACAGGCAAAGTTTAAGCCCGAAACTGCGGCCCAGATAATTTTTTTTTAGGAATTACTGACTTAAAGAGTATAAAATAATAATCATGGATAAGATGGTGTAATAGTAAAATGCCATGGTCAGTATTAACTGCATATATATATATATATATATATATATATATATATATATATATATATATATATATATATATATATATAAACTAAATTATAAAAACAAAATACAGACGGTCAGACATTTTATCTAAATAATCATGATATAAATACCAAAATTGGTTCTTTACGCTTGGGTGTCAGTCTTTTTAAATGAAAGACTACTCCGAATTCACAACAGTGAAGAGGACAACTAGAAGCTACTGCTCTCACTTTAAAGAAACGAAATCAATCCATGGTCTCCTTCATCCTGAAGGGATATGGTATTAAAAAAAAAAATTATTTCGTTCAAAGCTTTATACGCTTCAGACAGTGTCTTATGCATTTGGAGAATAAAAGAACTATGCATTATACATCTCGAGTTTGTATATCTGGATTGCATTTCAGTATTTTCATTTAACGAATAAATTAAAACTGACTACAAAGAAACACTTCTCACGTAGAAAACTTAATACGGTAGGAGGAGGATATCAGGGGAAGTAAATACTCCTATATTTTTACTAAATTATCTCCCTTAGATTTTAAAGAGTTACTTCCCTTGGTAGAAAGATCTGTTTAGTTGTGTTACAATAATTGTATATTTTTAATACTTTTATTTATATTGTATTTAATGTTATTGTATTATTAATGCTACTGCGTAGCAAAGATAAGTAATTAAATAATAATAAAATTAAATTATTTCCTTTAATTTTCTCACCGGTACACGGTTTATTTGGTATGGTTCTTCAAGTGGAAAATAGAGCAAATCATTGTTTACTTAGGATCACATTTCAGGGTGCACTTCTTTTTAGAAGAATGCAAAAAAGCTTGATGTTTTCTGTATACAAAAGGTCCGTTGAAGTGGTAGTGGCTCCATAGTGCATCTGGGATATAATTTATTTTGAACTGGCTAAAAGGAAAAAAACACAAGATGGAATTGGAATTGCAAGGCACAAAACATTTTATAACAATATCTTATACAAATTAGAAAGACTGATGGCTACTAACATTATTAATACCAATTTATGCCCTAACTAAAAAAATATCTGTCTATGTTTCAGAGATGAGGTATTGTAACTATTATTAATAGTAATACAGTGAACCAGAGAAAAACAACGATAACAACAATACGAGATAAAAAAAAAATTGTAATGTGAGATCTGGTAAAAAAGGTACTGGAACATCTGGTGCCAAGGGAAATAAGTTCCTTACCATAAACATGGCACATAGTATTGGCATTTTCTTCCTTGAAAAAGGCATTAATCTCCACTCTATATGTTGGGCTGTTCCATCAGTATGTTTTGTAATAGTGGCTTTTGTACAACTTAGCATGGTTTGACCAGTATCAAGTCATGTGCTGATTATATTTATTTTGTAAAAATACAAAGTCATGTGCTGATTGGTTGGCCAGGATTAGGTTGCAGTGAGAAGGAAAAACATGTTTACATTGGTTAAATGTGAGGAACTTACATCTTTGGCAAGGATCCCAATATGGAAACATTTCAAACCTCTTCAGGTGTACAACAAGGATCCCCAGTCTACTGAATATTTTTCTTGACTATGCCTTTCACATTTACAGGCACAGATATGAAGAGATGGGCAGTGATTATTTAGACATTCCGTACCACATCCCAAATGAATCTATAAATAGTCTTGCTTTTAGTTGGATGGAATTGATTGACTTACAATGCAACAAATACAATGAAACACAAGTAAGCATAAATAAATCCAGTTTGTAAAAAATAAACCAGTTAGTCTGATGATCACAAAAGTGTGAAACCCAGGGTTACAAACTAATATCCATACAACTGAATATGTTAGCTCTATATATTGAGCACTTTCCTCTAGGTAATATATATATATATATATATATATATATATATATATATATATATATATATATATATATATATAATAAATTATCTGATTTAAAAAATATGGTTCCATCGCTACACAGGAATTACTATGTTTCGAAAACAGAAACTAACAACTTCAAATTCAATTATATAATTAAATTAAAAGCACTAGTTCTGTTTTATTTTCAAGCGAAACTATAATATATTAATACATGTTTCATTAAATAATATAGACAACTTTTGTCTCTTTATTTTAAGCAAAATCCTTTCATGACATCTGATAAGCTTAATAGCATTATCATTGAAAGATGAAAGAAAATCACCATGTTGATACATGTTTTATTCTTAATCCTTAATCTTTCTGCTTACATAAGCACTCATCAATTAAAGGAGTTAATTTTGCAACAATGATAGTTTGTTTGTTTGCATGGAAGATTGCTATGCAACGATAAACTCGTGCATATGAAATGCAGGAAGTAAATATTGCATTGCAGTTCATGATGATACACTTGATCATGTGAGAGTGAAAATGAAGAAAAGTGTTAAGTATAGAAAATCATAGATAAGCCAATAGCTTCTGTTATAAACCAATAGCTTATGTTATCAACTATTAGCATAAATATATATATATATATATATCAACTATAAGCAGATAATATATATATATATATATATATATATATATATATATATATATATATATATATATATATATATATATAAATATATATATATATATATATATAATTATTTACTGTAAAATAAATTCTAAGAACCAAGACAAAAGTTAAGTATATATATATATATATATATATATATATATATATATATATATATATATATATATATATATATATATATATATATATATATATTTATTTGAAAAGAAGGCACTCATTTTGCCTATATTCATCAACTGAAATTTGTATGTTGTTTTTTTTCATTTTATCTGGTTATTTATTGTTATTTAAATATTTATATATTTATTTTTTCAGAAGAGTACAGGTAGCCACAGCGGACTGGTAGCTCTAGCCACTGGATATCTTTTGAATGAGCAGTAAAGGATAGAGAAGATTGAGAAAGTTTTATGGAATTCTACCACCAAGGTCTATGGATTTATTTTTTTTATTAAATTTTTCCAATTTACAAATAAAATTCATATGTGGATCAAATCTGTGGATAAACTCTACAAAGGACATAATATTTTGCTTCAAATACTTACGAACAGTTTTCCTCGCCATAAAGAAGAAGTTGTTATTAGAGTCATATAATAATGTCCAAATATTAGCTTTCTATATAAATATTTCTTTTTTAATAATTTCACCCCAAGTAAGGCAATAAAGCCACTAAGATGCAAGGGGGTTACTGAGTGTTAGAGAATATGAGAAAAGAAAAAACTATTAAGGTAAGAGAACAATTAAAGAACAAGAATTAAGAAGACAGAAGACAATGATTGACATTGCATTTAAATTTTTGAAGATCAACATTGACTGGGAAGCAAGAAACTGGAAGAAAATTCCACAAGCGAGAAGTGCAAAAGAAGAAACTGTTAGCATAGATGCCAGTTCAGGACCAATAATATTGCAGATTCTTATTTTATCAAGAATTTTCAAATATATAGCAAGAACACCAGATGTCTGCAGCAATATTCAAAGCAAGAATAATGGTAGACTTATAAATATGTAAGGTAGATTCTGGCAGGAAAACTTGTCTAGCATGACACAGAAAACCAACTCTTCTAGCAGTTGGTTCAATATAATCTTTTCACTATGTCAGCATTAGTCCGAGAAGGTGCAATGTGTCACTATCTTGTAGGTTAGTTTCATCCATGCTGATTGAAGGTAAATGTTTTCTCTCTGATGATTAAAAGAGAGTAGTTTTGGAGGTATTAAAATTAAGAAGCCATTCCTTGCCCCAGTTAACAACATATTGTAGCTCTTTTTTTTAAGATCAGCTGCCAAATTCACCTCTTATACAATGTCTAGATATTACCATCATCTTCATTGCCATATTCACAATGTTTTTGCCATTGTATGCTCCAGCCTTCTTCAGGTGATTGGAATCTCAAACAGAACCCTTTATTTTATCCACCAGAGTAAACTGTTCTAGTTCCACGTGCCATGCTTCTTCTGGATGTCTCAGTTATTTCTTAAGGTCACATGACCCAGTGGATAAAGATGTCGGTTAGATCCAGTGATTAGACCCAAAGAGCTTTCAGTTCAATACCAAGCCACAGCAGTGGTGAACCAAAATTGGAGAGTTGATTTAAATGGAAAATAACTGAGACATCCGGAAGAGGCATGGTATGGCACGTGGAACTAGAATATACCCCGGTGGATGAAATAAAGGGTTCGGTTGGAAATTTCAATCACCTGAAGAAGGCCAGAGTGTACAACAACAGCCGAAACGTGAATATGGCAATGAAGATGAGGATAACAGATTGAATAATGTAAATAATGTAAGTAAAGATAATACCTCATCTCAGAGATATAGACAGATATCTAGATATTAGTTTTGTTTCGGTAAATCCATGTTGAAATCATGTCATGATGTTGCAGGCGTAGGTTCCAGTTTGACTATAAGCAGTTGCAAAAATATTTTGCACATGTAAATATAGCAGGTAGGATGATATTTAATATTTTTGTTTACCTAATGCTGAGTAATAAGAGAGAAAATCTACAAGTATACAAGTAAAAATGAAGATACTGAAAGTTAGGAATTCTGTGGGTGATACACATATGTGTGAGGGTACAGTTATTAAGGGGGAAGAAATGTCCAGTGGTACTGTCCTGTTGGTGTTGTCACTAGAACATGCTGGAAGGAAAAGTATGAAAAAGAATAAGAACAGTAATAGCTGCTTAATAGCACCCTCTAACGTCATCTTGCCAAAACTGGCAACCCCATTATTTGGACTATTGTCCTCATCTTTGTCACCATATTTATTACAACGTTTCATCCATTGTACACTCCAGCCATCTTCTGGTAGCTGGAATGTCGAACTGAACCCTTTATTTCTCTCACTGGTGTAGACTGTTCTAGTTCCACGTGCCATGTTTAACAGACGTCAGTTATCAGTTATCTCCTGTTAATTCCCCTCTCGAAGTTCTCCACCACCTTAACCAGGTATTGAACTCACACTCTTGGGTCCTGTCACTGGATTTAACTAATACCTTTATCCACTGTCCATGTGTTCCTGATTAAGGCCATCGATGATAGATGAATCTGTGGATGCCCGTCAGTACGTTTGTGTTTGTTCATCACCTAAAGACCCCACCTGTGGTTTATATCAAAACTATGCTGAGTGGACCTTACCTACAGTTTCTGGGAGAGAGCAGGTTATCTAGTGTGTTCAACAATCTGAACAAAGCCAGCACGCTCAAATCTTCAGACACGATGACTTGTGAATTCCTGCTAACACAAGCATCACTATTGCAAACGTCTAATCATGCACATTTGTGTTTGTCATGTGGCCTTTATCCACTGTGCCATGTGCCCTTGAGGACACATGGCACAGTGGATAAAGGCATTGGTTAGATCCAGTGACAGGACCCAAAGAATTGTAAGTTCAATACCCGGTTAAGGCAGTAGAGAACTTGGAGAGGGGAATTAACAGGAGATAATTGATAACTGACATCCATTAAACATGGCACGTGGAACTAGAACAGTCTACCCCAGTGAACAAAATAAAGCGTTCAGTTCGACATTCCAATCAACTGAAGAAGGCCGGAGCATATAATGGCCGAAAGTTGTAATAAATATGTCGACAAAAATGAGGACAATAGTCCGAATAATGTAAATAGTGTACATAATACCTTATCTCAGAAATATAGACAGATACTGACTGGAAAAGTCATGTTGAGATAACTCACAGTTTTATATGATAATGTCCAAAACTTTGTTTCACATAATAATATCCAGATATTAATTTCACATCATAATGTCTAGATATTATTTTCATTTTAAGAAGAGTTTTGAGAAATGTTATTAAATGTTATATTACATTATAAATGTTCTTAAATGTTATAGCTGATGGTTGGCACACAAGTTGATATCTGATCAATATCAGTTGGGTTGCTATGGAGAAGGGGTATATGATGTTCTAAGACGTGAAACTCCTAATGATCCTCAGCTAAAAACATCACTGACGTTGTGAACAGATGTCTTCCACAAAAGATCATATAAGAGTGGCCATTAATTTGATCTGTATATGCAACAACTTAATAGTAAATTAGAAAAATATAATAAAAACATTGTTTGAATTTTCTAATGTTTTTTGTCTATGACTATTTAAATACAGTGGTCTACTGATAAAAGAATAGAGAAAATTCTTTTGGGAAATGATTTTTGCAGATTAATAAAAACATTATTACATCCTTAGGTTGTGACATGAATCAGAATTGAAAAATATTGATTGTTTTTATTATTTTAGAATGCGGGTCCTTTATTTAAAAGTTATCTATTTTTTAGTCAACACTGAAAAAAACCCCAAAAAAACAAACTTTATTTTACATGCAAATAGTCCAATAACTCTTTGAAAGTTAAATATCTATTTGACACTGAATTTATATATAAAAAGAACCACCTTTCTAAAATGATTTAAAAAATAAATATTTTTTCATTCTGCCGAGTGTCATAGCCAAAGAATAAAATGCTAATCTACAAAAATGATTGTTTATATCTTGGACTATTTAAATACAGTGGTCCACTCATAAAAGAAGAGCGAAAATTCTTTTGGGAAATGATTTTTGCAGATTAATGTTCTTTCAAACATCCTTAGGTTGTGACATGTATCAGAATTGAAAAATATTGATTTTTTTTTTATTATTTTACATGTGGGTCCTGTCCATTATATCAATATAGTGTAAAATCAATCCATGACTTTTACTAAGTTATTGGATTTAATGTTGGTCATTTAACTGTTATTTACTAATGCCAAGTCTGAAATTGTGCTAACATCATTGATATCTTCATATTTTTTAACTTTTCTAAATTTTTAACCTTTTTATATATATATATATATATATATATATATATATATATATATATATATATATATATCATATATTTACATATATATATATATATATATATATATATATATATATATATATGTAAGCAAATATATGGATATAGATCTGACAGTGTGAAGAAAAAATATACTGAAAAGCAAACAAAAATCCTAATATGCAATTATGCTGTTTTAATGTTTAATGTCAACGTCGAATGTTTTCGGGTCTAATAGACCATCTTCAGGACATATTCATAAAACATAATTAACATAGACCATATACAATTCAACATGAAAAAGACGATGGACATAAAAGCAATACCAATCCAAACAGATAACTGAAATCTTTTATAAGATCAGCGTTCCGTTTAAATATGATTTTTTTTCTTCATATATATATATATATATATATATATTATATTATATTTTTATTATAAGAGATTATAATAAAAACATTTTAAATCACTACACAAAATATTTCATGTTTGAAATACTATGATTGTACTTCCTCAGTTGATGGTGATAAAATGATTTTAGGGAAATTTAAAAACAAACCGTTACCTCTTTTCTGAAACTTAAAGGGGCGACATAAGGTTAGAATTAAAAATATACTTGTGGGTATATCTTGATTAACCAATTAAATATCAGATCTATGCTAAATAGAAAAATAACGTTAGAGGGTGGAGGTGGGTGAATTATTTTTTCATGCCATTATAAACGACACGCCATCATTGACAGTTGTGGAGAATATAGATATCGACATTGACAACATAGGTTTATATAGAGATGACAACCTTATGGTGGTGAAAAATTCTACAAAAATCAAAGCTGACAAAATCAGGAAATTCATACATAATGAATTTAAAAGTCTCAACCTTAAAGTTAAGATCAATACAAATTTTTAAAAAGTAGATTTCCTTGATGTTACACTAGACCTAGTTAATAATACATGCCAAACTTACATAAAAACAAATGCAAATCCATTATATATCCACCCAAATTCTAATCACCCTCCATC